CGGAGGCGTTTGGATCAACCAAATGCGAACTGGATCAACAGTTTGCTAGGGAAAAGAAGACAGCATGATGCGGACCGGGGAGTGGGAAGGCTTTGTACTATACGACGCGACATGCTGACAGTCAGTGACAGGTTGATGCAGGCACAGCCGTTGTGTGACCGGGGGTTAGAGTCTGGGCGCCAAAATTGATTGGACCTGGAGTTCCCGAACATGTTTTCCGGCATCCAATAACCCCTGGAGACAGGAAACATTTTTGTTTTAGGGCGCTGTTTTAGGCCGCCGGGTACATCATCGCAATCTCGCTTAGCGATCTACCGACTCACCGCCCACCAATGAGTCCACTGTCCACCGCCTTCTTGAGACTTTCGGCCATGCGATTCTCCCGAAATGTATTAAGCCGCTGCAGATATAGTACTTCAAGGCTACCGCTCAGACTCTCGGCCACACAGATCCTTGTAGAGTACGCGTCACTTCTCTACCCCGCCGAAGATATGAGAATCACCAAGATTGTCAACAGCCTCATTCATCTGGAAAGCATACAGGCTGGAGATGGACCGATTTTGAAACAAATGCGCCTCAAAAAGAAGCTCCATGAGGCGGGCGCATGTATGATCCTTTACCAAGTGTTGGAACTATACTAAGGTGGTACATATTGAGGCGGTACAGCACAACTTTCCAAGCGGTACCTGTTGGGCCCCAAAAATTGTACACACCAAAGGTCTTTTTGACTGTTGAGATCCGAAAGCTTGGAGGTCCTACGAGTAGAGGAGCTTACCACAGGAACTTCATCTCACTTGCGTGCCCAATAAAAACCAGTCTGCCGCCAACGCGTCGCGCTTGTCTTTCTCCTTCTTGCGCCTAAGGTCTCCGCACCGTCACGCCAACTGCACCTCTTTGATAGCAGACTGATTTTCAGGACTGTTTGTTTGCGAGAAACATGGACGCATCAATCCCTTCCTCCCAAATGGCCAACAGTGAATATCTACAGAGTGTCATACCAAACGAACTCGCTACCTCCAAAAATGCCACGAGTGGCAAGCTTCAAAGAATGACCGATAGAATGAAACTGAACAAAGATCATCGTGTTACGCATTCAGTTCGTTCCTTGCGGAATGGCGAGGTAAGTGCGTGGCAACATCGGTGCTCCCATGTCCCAACAGTATTCCCGAAGCAACTTGCGCAATTCAATTTCCATTTCTTCGCGACTGCAGGAGCTAGGTCAAAGAATGTGCCCCAGTCCTATGGGTGTGACGGTCTAGTATGCTACAAGTTATGTAGGAGTTCAGCCGAATTGGGTCCAATCTATTCGTCTGTGGCTTGCTTAACCGTGTGACTTCCGCGAAGCTACTCGAGGAACATTTGAAGGGTAAAGGCCCTTATCATCCACTACTTGAAAATTGACCCGATTGTCTTCTACATTTACAGGTGACCAGTACGCCAGATTCACACGATCAGATCCTGCAAAATCGCGCCGTTTGTGAAGTGCGCAGAGCCCTCAAAGTCGGTAAACACCCGCAAAATATTGCGACACAGACCTCTATGTCCGACAATACACATGTGTTTGTATCAGTCCCTACATGGGTATCAGTACGGGAAATGGGATCCTTCGACTCAGGAGAGACGTACATCCTGGATCAGAAAGCGCAGGATCCCACACTTTTGGGACGCGATATATGCTGACGATACAGACGATTCATACAGAGCAATCTCTTAGCTATGGTATGGCAAGTGCGAGAAAGAATAGCGACTTTCTTCGAGAATGATGACGTGCTTTGCAACCCTAGCAGCGACGTCTAGATTTGGAAAGTCTCGTCAGTAGTCCGCGCGGTGTTCCCTGCCGATACCAGATGAGCTTACAGTGCAGACCGCCGGCCGTTTCCAAGATCGCCGACAAATAGAAGTATAAATCAGTCGACACTCTCCGTGCTTGAAAATAAATAACCGCATTCAGTTCGAAAAAAACGGTTTACCAACACGAGAGTGATCATATAGTCATCGGCTTTGATCGAAGCCTTGCAAATGCGTCTTGATACGAATCGCAATATGACTGCTATGAAAACTACTGGCAGAACAACCTTCGTGCGAGATCACGATAGCGCTTGATCCATTATCATGGATATGATTAAGCTATCACTGAATATCACTGGGTGTAGCCATTCGGAGAATTTTCGTCTCTGATCTCGTTGGTGTAGTCTGTGGACCAGGTTCAAAAAGCGTCAGGCTTCGAGAAAGCGCAACGGCACCAAGGAGACCCTGCCTGGAGGCCGCCTGCGCCATCTGGCGAGCTCATCAATCCTCGTCCGCGTGGGATGAAACGTTCTTGCAATATTTCACGCCTCCTAAAGCCCTCCCAGGAGATACCGCAGCCATGCGAAAGGGCGCTAGACTTACTCTGGGAATTGATTTTGAGTGCTGACTACGGACTATCGCAGAGATTCCAGCCCTGTTATTGACGGCACCCCTGCTGCGGTCTCATATGCCGCAACGACGATAATTCACAATGCATAGGATGAGAAGACACAGCCCTCGGTCGACAACCCTCGATCCGTTCCATTGGTTGCCGAGACTCCAAGTGAAAGAAAAAGGGGGCGCAGTCGCGATGCCTCATCCTTCCCCGGCTTACAGGCTGCAGTGCAGGAAGCTAGCGTGTCGGTCTCATACCGTTCCATCAAGAGCGGAGATAATGCTTGCACCGCAAGATGTGTGTCCAATCGGATCCCACTCGAACGCAAATCCAAGTGCGCTTGATATGCGCCTCGCCGTCTCCGATGCAAGGCGTCCCACCCCACCGTATGGCCCACCTTCAGTCAGGCACAAAGGGAACAGACCTGGAGCGAGCTGCCTGGGATCATGGCAGCTCCTCGATTGGCCGCCTCTAGTAAAGGATAGTCCGCAGCCTAGTGTGTGTGCCTCGTCTCGTGGGATCTGCCGTAGGTCAAGGATGCAAAAAAGCACAGGTCATGCTGCAATCACTGAAGCCCTCCGATATACATATTTTTCAGTGATGTACATATCTTTGACTTGGTCTCCCAGGTTTCAGGGTTCAAGCTCGCTTCGCGCATGCTGCTAACATGAGGCCGCGTTGCTCTTGATGGATTTGCGAAGAACCAAGGCTGGACGACGTGCATGTCGTGCCGCAACCCACGAATCGGTTTTCATGAAAAGTTCGATGTTTTCGGAACAGATATTTGTGCGTTCCATCCATGGTCACCTTTGAGACGTGTCCTCACCGGCCCCTCGTCCTCGTGTACCATACTTCTTTGCGCTTACCTTGACTCCCAATGGCGCTCGTTTCGTTTCGTTCTCCCTCGTCTTGAAATTGATCAGCCTCCTGGCGAAGCCCTCCACGCAATCGATGACACCTTCAGCGCGGGCTTTCAACAACGCAAGGTCCTTCGGGCTTAGCCAGCGAGCAAGTTGTTGCCAACCCACCCAGCGTCCCCGAGGGGTCTTGTTTTTGTTTCCGGCTGGGGACTGGCGTTGGACCCTAGCCGCAGGGGAGTTTCACTCAGGATTGTTACCTGCCAGTGGGACAGGTTTACTCCAGAGACGAAGTTGTGAACGGCTAGGGCTAAAGGTGGGAACCGAATGGACACTTATGAGTATAGGGCTTTTCCGACAACGATTTTCGGTTTCATTATTGTTTGGCTGATAAGTACTACGGAGTGTATATACTATCAAAAGAGAGATCGATCTATTCCACTAACTATCAGGCCTCTTCCTCACCACGACCTACATCGTCGTCGGCGCAGATGCTGTGCCAAAACGTAATCGCAACGACTTGACCCACGGCATCCTCTCCGGGCGACGGGACAGAATCGACATACACTCCGACGAGAGGACGATAGTTGTGACTCGAGATCCCCGAGGCTGTTTCGACATTAGCAGCATGTTGACCAGCGATTCGTTGTGATCAGCTACGCGGGCGGGCATGAATATCTCGTTCGATGTGGGCGGGGTTTTCTGAGCTGCGCGTTGGACGAAGTGGCGGCAACGCAGGGAATGTTCTGAGAAGGGTTATACGCTATGTTTGGGGGCGGGGCGGGGCGGGGGAAGGGTTGCTTTCTTCTTCTTCGGCGGCCCAGCCCGATACAACGTCACTGGGTCTTCGTCATTCGGCGATTTTGATTCATGGTCTACTGGAGCCCGCTCTCCGTTGTCTTTGCTCCCCTTTCAGCTATCTGCCACTCGCTCGCCACGTATCTTACCTGCCACTGACGTACGACTCCGGTCCTGATATCCACCCCCCGCAAATGCATAGGTCTCTCGAAAAGGTCCATAGCAGAAATTGGTATGGCTCTTCTAACTCTCCGCCTTACCGCCAAGATGATCGTCGTCACCTAAGTTCTCAAGTAAGACCGCCGTGGAAGCTCAGAGCTGAAGACCTGCAGCATTTGTGTGACTATCGCAGGTTTGGGTGGCTGGTAGGGTAGCGCTTTCGCTCCGGGGCTTCCGCAAGCGAAGACATTGGCAGGACTCTAGGATGGAGAAATGAGAGGCTTGGACGACGGCGGAGTTGGGTGCGGAGGACGGATTGTTTGTGGGGGGGACAGATGGGACTGCTTCTGCACGCACCGGGGCCTTGGGGGTCGAAGAGGGGATGATCGTAGGGGCAGGGGGGGAAGGTGACTGGGTTTTTTGTGAGGTCCGAGGGGATGTTGGTTGCTATGGGGTAGATGGTGGGTTGGGTTGCTGGGATGAGAGGTTTATCCGGTGCGGTACAAGAGAGGGTAGACCGGTAAGGCGCAAACAGGCTTGGAGTCTGAGATCTTCCGTAAATTTGAGTCCTTTCGGGTCAGCGGACTCCCAACCGCGCTCATTGTATGGGGTATGGTTCTTCGTAGAAAGATCAGATATAGGAAACGAGATCAAACGATCACTCTACGGCACGCGAATTTCGGGAAGGGGTTGTCTTTATGCAATAGCATATAGTTTACCAGCGTTCTGCCGTGATGCGATATGTTGTTCCTTGTCAATCCAGACTCCAGTATCAATGACGTTCAAATTGTTTGCAAACCAACCCCAGCCTGCTTTCTCCCTTCCACAAAAGCAACAGGAGGCGTATACAGCTTCTTGCCATGAACTAAGTAGACCACTGCCGCAACCCCAATCACCCCAACCCACACCAATGGCGCCCAATTAGCCGTACTCGTCGTCACAGGCACCGCATTCGGGAAGCAGCTAAATATGATCACGAATCCAGAATAAGCGAATGCAAAAGCGTTGATGGGCAGGCCCCATTTGCCAAGGCTCCACCTTGCTGGAGGCAGTTCTTGTTTCCGGATACGCTTGAGCAGGACGCAGCCGATGGAGATCATGTAGGTTGAGAGCAAGGCGAGCAGAGTGAGGGATACGACGATATTGAAGGCGGTAGTGGATCCGAGGTTTATGAGGCAGATGACGCCAGAGCCAACGGAGGTGAGGTAGACGGCGTTATCGGGGACATTACGCTTGTAGTTCATCTATAGACAATTTTCAGTCCAACACGCCATCCGCTGGACTGCCCGCAGCGAACTCACGCGGGAGATCCATTTGGAAAAAGGGAACCCCTGATCGCGCGAGAAAGCCCAAGCCTCCCTTGAGGTGGTAGCTAGCGCAGTGACATTACCGGAGAACACGAGCAAGAATAATATGACTGTAAGGGTCATGGCTACTCCAACGGAACCTGTGTTGTTGAAGAGGCTTAGGTATGGCGCAGGGGAGTTGATGGCGTCATTGAGATCACCAATGCAGAAAAGCATTGTGATGAGGATAACGATGCCCATGAGTACGTTGAGGATGTAGCTCCACCACATACATCGCGGTACAACCAGAGACGCATCTTCGACTTCCTCGGCTGGAGATTACATCGGCAACTCTAATATGGCGAAACGTAGGGGCATCACTTACAGATATGCACGGCACAGTCGGAACCTGAGCGTAGAATTAGAACTCTGGACCTGTTCCTCACACGAGCTAGAGCCCACCTAGATTGCAGTAGAGCACTGTCACCTGCGCGACCAAGCAAGAAGTCCCGGTATTGCTCCAGCCTCCATTGTTGACCACTTCCGCGAACACTGCATGCGCCGAATTCTTCGGCGCAAGCACCCAAAGTGGTATCAAAGTTATGATGAAGCCTCCGATATGACCGAACAGGGATATAGTCTCAAGCATCGGCAGCACTCTTGCACCCCAAGTATTAAGGAAGATTGTTAGGACTAGGATGGCTAGCATGATGAGAGTGTACTGCCAGTTAGGGAAGGCGAAGCTGGGATTAGTCACATCAATCAGGACTTCGATAAGAGTAGCGACGACGAAGACGCTACTGGCAACACTTGCGAGCCAGCCCAATGTCGACATCCAGCCTACCCAGTGCTTAGCTCCCGTGTAGTTGTGACGCGCAAGCAATGAATCGAGGGAAACGGACCTGCTGCGTAACTGGCAACTTTCTGGTACTCGGGAGGCGCGAATTCACTGACCCAGTGGTATTGACCGCCACTCGTAGGAGCCCTTATTGTCCCGTCAGCATGACCATATCACGGCTGAAGCATCAGAAAAGCATGGCAGGATTCCACGCTACGTCACAAAGTATGTGGCTAGTGATATGACTGTCTTGATGAGTACTTACATGGACTCCATTTCGGCCAGAGATGCAACAACAGATGAATAACAGACGACAGTGCCAATGAAGACCCAGAAGAGGCCACCGAAACCACCATTAAGAAGTCCTACGCTCAATGATCTGTTCAACGTGAGCCACGCACATACTGAATCGAAAGGCGCAGTCTTTGATCACATACACCAAGACAAACTCCCAAGTAGCCATATATATAGATATGAAGCCCAAGGTTGCAAGAAAGCTGAAGTTTCTCTGGTTCATCGCAGCCCAGTCAGACGTAAGTAGGGATGGGATGAGTGTTGCCGTACTCTGAATTCCTGCTTCTTGCCCAAGCGTCTCATGTCTGACACATCGTTGGTAGTATCGCCGACACCATACTCGAAGGCCTCGACCAGGCGCGACGATGGTCCAGTCTCCGGGCTCATTTCTTGCGTTGGCGCTTCAAAGTTATTCTTCCCGTAGGAGGGCGCATTCTTTTCAAAGGCCATGACGCTATCGAACGCAGGAAATCTAGAGATAAAAAAACAGGAAATCTGTCAAGACTCGACCACCCAACGCAGGATCTGCAAGAGGCAAGGTGAAAAAGAAAAGATACGAGACTCGTGCATTGATCTATTCCCTAGACTCACTAGGTGCATGCTGGTGCATGGCGGGGTGACCCTCCAGCTATTGGTGGGGTGGCCGCCCCATGCATACTATCGCTGAGAACTGCCAGAGAAATACGAATTGTGTTCAACAAGTGTCTGAGCAAAGCATTGTCACTGTATTTGCGATGGCGGTGGAGTGAACGAAGGATGAAAGAAAAAGCAGCATTTTTGGCGACGCCTCCATGCACGCAGGAACTACAGCCCTAACCCTACTTTAAGGTGCTCAGTAAGATTTCCTAAATCTAAGATGCGCTAGGGTGTCGTGTCCGAAAGCTAACGCCACATACAAGGAAATCTACCACCTTTGACTCGGTACAATTGGCATGGATTATTCGTGACAAGACCATGGGAACCCAACAGCTTTCTCCCAGACAAGCACATGCTTTGTTCGATATTCTCACTCATCACGAGACTTACGCAGAGATTCAAGCCTTGAAGGATCCCAAGACCGTGTCAGATTTCGAGGTTCCAGGAGAGCCCAAGAAGCCAGATAGCAGCGCGTCACCACTACTTCAGATCCTTCTCCATAAATTCGTCTACGTGCTTCCCGGCCTCCGAGATGTTGCGCCCGATTTTTGGACCAATGTCAAGGACCTCGTTGTTGCCTTGGCCCAAGGGAATCTCAGCGAAAGCTACGACAAGGGCTCCATCGGCATCCGAAAGACTTTGTCGACGGCAACCGCGTCGATTGTAGAATACGTCTCTAGAGGCTGCTTGGGTGGATATCCAAGACATGCTGGGAACAAGGAGCGCAAATATGACACCTCAGATCCGGATGACGTAGTCGCCGCCTGGGATGAGTTTCTGCAGCAGATTATCTATGGGGACATGTTGGACAGATTGTTTGCAAAGGCTGCCGAGACAGATAAACTGTCAAACCATGAGCCTCTGGTGCAGGCTGCTCATGAGTACGCTTTCACCATTCTGGGCTCCTTCCTCCACTACATCATCGTCATCTCACCACGAGGCCAATCCATACTTCCGCTGCTGACCAAGGCTCACAACCTTGCACCATACTTCATGATTCGACAAACCTTGAAGCTTGGTAACGCGGCATCTATGCTGAACGGCATGGTAAAGTTGATCCTTGCAAAAATGAACTTGAGCACTGTCACTTCATGGTTTGGGGGCCAGCCTTCTGATTCTGGCATGAACTTGATGCAACAGTACGTTGAAGCTTCTCAACCATGGCACACCTCTTTTGTTTAAAAAGCTTCTAGGATTATCTCGACAGTCTTGAGCTCGGACAGTAGCGAATTGAAGAAGCGAGCAAGTGCCATTGAGAAGGACAAAGATGCGCCCAAAAAGGAGCATCTAGCACTGCTCAAAGCCTATGGCTCAAAGTCGAACGAGGAACAGCGCAAGGACAGATCGGAAAGCGGTACACAGTCCCTAGTCCTTTCTAGACTTTGATGCTTACACTACGTCCAGAGAGTCAGCCGGAGTCAATTGTAAATGCCATATTTACTAGCTCGTCGAATGCTGCAAGTCCATCTGAGTATCAGCACAAACTCGCCTTAGAGTACCTTGCCATTCAATTAGCCATCCGAGATAGGGAGGAACTCGTTGATGGCCTCTGTCATCATTCACCAGATCTATTGACATCTTCAATTCGGACTGTAATCCCGGCATACGATCCCATCATACGCGGCCTTCATCAAGCCTACGATCTAAGCGGCGGTATCTCTGACCTCGAAAACTTCTTGAATGATCTTATCAGCGTGTCCACCGTGAAAAGCAAGGGCGGAGTGGCTCAGCCTCCGTCAGTGGAGGATTTCTGCCGCTTGCTGCAAAAGCACCAGGGCAGCTCTCATAGATTCATTCACCAGGTCCTCAAGAACAACAAGGACCTGGCTCAACGGTACTACGACTACGCGGTGCACGCCGCAAGACAGTACAGGCAGGATACGGAGCGTGCCATCGATGATGAGGGAACACGCACCGCAGCAGCTGGTGACTTCACACCACATCTCGAGTCACTTTTTTCCAATCTCTCCGAAGCAGAGAGAGCCAAAGTTCTCGAAGAGATCAACAGCCATGCAGAGTACCTCTTCACCCTCACCCACAGCTCTACTCAGAGTATGAAAACAGTCATTCACCACCTCGCGGAAGGAGAGTCCGATATCCAACGCGGCCCTGGCATGTATCTTTCAAGGTGGCAGACGCTAATGGACGAAACGCCAATCACGCCCGCAAATCCCAGTGGGCCCGTAAGGTCCGGGAAAAGCGAGAGTGTGAGAGATGCTACGACGGTCGATATCGACGGAAAGAGCAAGGGCGACGCAGCTAATCTTGAGAAAATAAGTGATTCAGACGCTGCGCCGCCGGATGCAAGCAACACGGTGCGACTACTTGTTCCAGGGTTTCAGGATGTGTTGAGGGGTGTCATCGAGAAGTAGGCGGCTAAAAGGCGAGGCCTTGGCAAGTATGGAACATTGACATCAAGCGGACGGTAAGGAAGTCGAAGCGTTCGAAAGTCTACAAGATCTAGCGACAAATGCCGTGCGAATTGTGCAGGAGGCTTTTGATGTCTGTCATAGATGAAACCTCAGGACTTGTTAGAGTCTTAAGAGGTTACCTCGCCACATCGATTACTTTCGCAAAGTCTTAAAATAGGTAGTGAGGCTTCACCAGTGACAGACATGATTTCATTTTCGTACAAGAAGCTTCCCTAATTTTACAATCCTTTGCGCTTGGCTACTTCGCTTCAAGTCTCGCTTCCTTCGATTTATACTCCTGTATTTGCAAACTATAAGCATGCCTTGGGTGGCAGTGTAATCCCTTCGGCCCCGTTTCCACATGCGAACGTCGAGTTCACAATCGAAATCGTCAAACCAACCCCAGTGGGGTTACCACTACTTCGGGGAACATCTTGCCACCAGTCTCTGGTGCCGTCCATCCTCCGCACCGTCTCATACCAGTGGTCGAGATTCCGTTGCAGATTCTCCCTCGCCGGACTCCCGGCCGCCGCCATGTAAACCGCCGCTTCGAGCGCGTCCACAAGGCGTTGTCCTGTATACGGGTCCCGATCCCCGGGACTGTATCGATCGTCGTCGGAACCGGAGTCACGTATCATCATCGTGAGGAAGGCCGTACTTGGAGCTATTTCGCTGACCATGAGCGATTCGATCCACATCCACAAAAAGATGGCGGAGGAGCTTCTAACCCCTACTTACGAAACGCGTCCTCATACTTGGTCTCGGGCGAGGTGACATAGTTGAGCTGCTTCGCGAAGCCCCTTGTCACATACCCTCCCGTGATGTGCGCTATGATGCATTTCTCCATGGCCAGGCGTGCCATCTGTCGCATGAAGTTCCCCGAAAGCCAATTCTGCCGGCTGCCGTCGGCGCCCTGGCCGGCGACCTGCATCTGTAGTTCGCACGTTCCTGTGATTTTATCCCAAGATTAGGGCGATGGTCGCGTTACGTGTTGGTTCCACTACTCGGACAGGCTTCACTGACCGTGCGTTGCGGTGTACGATAGCATTTCGGGGTCCCCTCTTTGAGGATCGAGATACCAGGGAATCTGCGCGTTTCCGGACGGCAGCAGGCCGACGGCGACCTCGCAGTCATCGTAGTCAGGTACATCCTTCTGAGCATAGAATTGGGAACAATGATAGAAGTCTGGCGGCGTCGGCGCCAGCAGAGGCGAGGGTGCTGCAGAAATATTCATCGCGTGGCTGCTTCGCTGGCTTGGAAGAAGTTTGCGTGGCAGTTGTGTCTCGAAATGTGATGATTATTGAGTCCGCCTTCCTTTGTCTGCATGTTTGCCGGGAAATCGAACATTGGACTTAGGCGAGATGCGGCACGGCTGTACAACTTGGGGTAGATGAGGTGCTAATTAAGAATGAATGCTCGTTGTCATTGGGCGCTTCTAGAGGGTGAATCTTCGCGACGAAAAGGGTTCCGATGGTCGTGTGCCTTGCCGCCACGTGACGACAATCGATTCGCGCGCCATAAGCAAGATCTGGAAGAATGTTGTGCTCATTGACGACGGCAGCTCGAAGCCTCTTCTTTTGTGGTCGAGTACCACCCTCTGTGTGCAGGAAGTCTTGCATAAAAGGGTTGGAATCTTCTTCTGTCAGTCGTGTTGAGAGGTTCAATGTGCTGATACAGTGAATAACCCAGATGGGACGACAATCGTCTCCTTGAGTGTCCGCACAGGTTTTGGTTCCACTCGTGATACTGTACAAGACAACGCAATAGCCCTAGAAACGAGCTGACGTTCCTTAACCGTGACGAATGCATGATATCGCACAATGTCACTCATCTTTATCGTACAATGCAGTCCACGATGGGTTCAATTCCACAAAAGCCAAGGTTGGAAGAACTTACTCATTCATTCTCAGATTGTCCGATTATGTTTATCTATAAACGCCATGGAACCGAAGTCCTCAAAGCATTGCGGACGTGCTGCTTTTCTTATCCAAGAATTAGAAGACTTGTATGAAACAACGCTTCCGTAAAATCTGCCCCTCTAATTAAGTTCGAATTATATCTAAAGAACAAGGATGATTAGGTTCGTGTGGATAGAAGAAGGATGTAGATTCTATAGAGAAAGGATCCGAAGGATTCCCTAAGGATCCAGCTAAGGGAGCTATATTATATATGGCTAGCAAGAAAGAACGACCCCATAGGAAGCGCCTTCCGACTACTACGGAATAAATAAGATAGAGCCCTAGCGACTATAAAGCTATACATAAATGTAGATAAAAGCTGCTTTTATAGAAAATAAAGTCGTAGTATAGCATAGCATCTAAAGCAAAAATAAAACCACTATCTCTTCTATTATTCATATAATACTAAAGAAAGTCTTAAACTTAGAAGAAAGAGAAAGTAAGGATACTAAAGCCTTCCGTAAGATATATATATCTTACTTCGGGAAAGTATAAACTTTCGAGAAAGCATAGATTCTAAAGCTTTCTATAAAAAGTATAAATCTCTAGAAAAGCTTCTAGCGGGGATATTGGATAGTTTACTATTATAGTAATAAGGGGATAGCGAGATTTAGAAGGTAGCCTATACGAGTAACGAATTTCTTGAGATAATTATCGTGAAATGTATATCTAATTTTTCGACTATTAAGTTATACGAGTATAAAGAATCTTTCATAGAATCTATTATATTTACTTATTCGAAATGAACCTCTTTAGCGAGCTTCTAGCTTTTCTATATTCTTCTAATATAATATAACTAAATCGTTAATATAATAAGTAATTTACTTAATTTCTTTATTATATCGAGAAGCTATATCTTTCTTTTATTAATTTAAATATTATTTAATTATATTATAAAGATTTACTCGATAAATAAAGTATTATTATACGATTTAAATATAGCTAATAAGATTTTTCAGCTTAACTATCTAAGTAGAAATATTATATTTAAAAAGTATATATAAGATAGATATGCTAGTAGAAGCTTTCTATAGCGGTTTGAAAAGAATACTAATAGAAGAGATTTCTAAATACTTAATAACTCGTATATTAACTAAATCTCTAGTCTTTAATAATCGCTAATCTCATTTTAATTCGATATAAAGAGAATTCTTGCGAAGTACCGCTTTCAGTAGTTTATTATAAATCTCGACTATTTCTATACTCTTAGAAGTATTAGAAGGGCTATATATAACGACAATATCTTCAGATCTTAAGAATTCTTTTAATTTATTATTAAAGAAATACTAATTACGATTAAGATAGTAGATATAAAGCTTTTAATATATAGTAAAGAATAACTTAAGATATCAGATAACGTTCTTTATATTAGTAGATATAGTAGTAAAGAGAATTGTAAATCTATTTATATAGTAGACTTTTATAAGTATAAAAGTAGATTCTACTTTAATAGTTTTAAGTGGGCTAATAAAGTTTATTTCTATAAGTTGAAAAGGGTATATAACTTTAATAGAATATAAAGACTAAGATCTGATAGCGGGTTTATACTTAGAATACTTAAGATACTCTATAATATATTTCTTAATATCTTATACTTTTCTAGGTTAGTAATAACTATATAGTCTTATTAGAATACTAGTCTTAGTCTAATATTCGCTTTCATTATAAACTTTTCATAGTACTATAAATATCTTTTCTTCCGGTATATAAGGTAAATATACGTCTCCTCGAAAGATTTATAGGATATATTATATTACTCGATATTTAAAAGCTTTTTAAAGTAGCGTAGCAATAAAAGTCGAAGATTCTATAATAAGAAATTCGTAGATTTTATCGAATTAGATACTACTACGATAGACTTTAATTTAAATCTTAATATTCTTATCGATTTTACTAAAGACTTTTATAGATAATTTTATAGTTTCTATAGTAGAAATAGTCTTTAGTAAAAAAGAAGAAATACTATATAGCGTATCTCTATTAACGATTTTAATTTACTTCGATTTAGTAAGTATTACTAGAAACGAATCGAATCTATTCTTATTATTCTTTTAGATTTATTTCGAGCTATAATTTTTTAATTTCTATTATATTAATATAACTATAATATTCTCTAAATATTTAGTATTAAATAAGATTCTAAATAAGCTATCGATAGCTTTATTTCGAGGCCTAGATATATATTAAATAATAAGATTTAAGCGACGAAGTTTATTAGTCTAATATTTATAGATTTTCTTATAAAGATCTAAGTTAAGAAAATATATAAAAGGCTTATAATTAATATATATTATAGTAAGCTAATATAAATACTTATATAAGTAGTTATACTTTTTATAGAATATAATAATAGTATAGAGTTCTCGCTTATAAGTAGAGTATTTCTTTTAAGTAGAATTAAAGATAAACGAATTGTATAAGATAGATACTTTTATATTCTTTTCTATTACGATAAGCTTCTAAGATTATAAAGCTTCTAGTAGAGTAGCTTCTTATAGTATAAGAGTATAATATTATATAATAGTATATCTAGCTATAAAATCGAAAGTATTAATATATATATAAACGATTTAACTTAAATTAATATTATATATACTTATTTTTATAGTATATTTAATATATAAAATCTCGAAGAATAGCTATTCTACTTAAGTTTACCGCTATTCTACTTTTCTTATAAGTCTAAAAAAAGATCTCGCGATTTCTATAAAATTCTTTATCTATCGACGCGTAATATTAATAGTTTTTAAAAAACCTCGAACTTCTAATTAATCTAAAGAAATAAGCTACTTAACTATCTTAATAACTTATTCTTTAAGAATATAAATATATTCTCTAATAATATAAGTCACTTTAAGGGCCTTAATTAATAATATAAATAGTTATAGCTTTTTAAAGAATAAGAGTAACTTAACTTACTTAACTCTAGAAAAGAAGTAATACTATAAAAAAGAAAATAAATTCTCGAAGTTATAAAAGCTATTAAAGAAATTATTTATATAGAATATAAGAGGTAATAAAATCTTAAAATTCGATAAATATAGTAAAGAAAGTTCTAAAGAAATAAAACTAAATACTCTATAAGCTAGCTTTATTATAATAAAGTTTATAGATTATAATCCTTACTATATTCTCGTAAATTATATCTAATTAATATCTAAAATAATAAAAGTAAAGTAATATCTATTATTAAAATATAAAGATATTATAAGATACGCGTACTTTAAGTTAGCTAAGAATAAGTATTTATAATATAAATTAAATAGATAATTATAAACTTTTAAGCTTAGCTTGAGATAAGCTTCTAGAAGAAGCTTTATAACTTATAAATAATCGAAAGTTATTTAAGACTCGTTAGTATATTTCGAATCCTCGACTTTATTTATTATAATAGCTCGTATATTTTATAAAGATAGACGTTTATTTATAAGCTTAATAAGTTTATAGATATTATCTTCGAGATTATTCTAAATAAGCTTTCTTAGTTACTATTCTATATAAAAAAACTAGCGCTTCTAAGATTTCGAGAAAGTAGACTTCGTATTAGATATAATATTTACTCGATATATAATAAGATTTATATAAGATAAATCTCTTAAGTCTTCTCTATTAAGATGTTTATACTAGTATAAAAATTATAATACTTATAATTTTTACTCTACTATAATAATAAGCGATCTAAGAACTAATCTTAATTCTAGCTTATTAGTCTATTCTTTAAGTTCTAGTAATAAGAAATATTACGAAAGACTTCGATAAATTATTCTTCTAATAGAAAATACTTATTTAAGAGATATTTATAAAAATAATAATATTAGCGTTCTCGAAATATTAAAGACTTTAACTAATTAGTCTAGAAAGTTTATAATAATTATTTACTTTAATAAAGAAAAAGAATTAAAATCTTTAAAGATAATAATAGAGATATTTAAGGGGCTTAAATTCTTAAGATAGACTATTACGAGCTCTAATAATTTAATATTCTATTTAAGATAGATTTAATTTACTAAAAATTCTAACGCTTAATCTCTTTAATATCTAATAAGTTATCTCTAGAATTAGAAGAATTATCGAATTCTAAAGAATTAATTTTCTTAAAAAAAGCCTTTAATATATCTTATCTAATAGCCTTCGAGATAATTATAGTAAACTTAAGATATATTAATAAATTATAAACTTTATAAAAAATTATTTCCGAATCTACGATTCTTTAAACTTTCTTATCTATCGATCTATCTCCTAGAAAAATAGTAGAAAAACGAATTAAAATAAAAGT